TGAACTTCCTCATAGAATTTGGCTTCTATCTGTGCACATTTAACTTGAAGGTTTTTGAGAGCATTCACTCGTCTTTTAACTACCCTAGGCAAGCTGAAAGGTCACATACAAGTTACATAGCATCATAGTAACACACAAATCACACTTCTTTAATCATCATGAAATTGAAGCAAAGGAGTGAGTGAATGAATAAGTTCCTATTTGAAGTAAAAGTATATTAAAAGAAATTAAACCTAAAAGATAAGTATATTGACCCTAGACTATATAAAACCAGGTAAAGTAAGTTTGTATTATACATCATATTGTCAACCCTAACGTCTTTAAATTGTAATCAAGTTCAGAGCTGGACTTGTCATTGAAGGCATCTGAAATGAATTACAATGACTACTTGAATTTTTTTTTTTCCCTCATATCTGTCTCACTTGTACCAATTTGGGGAAAGCACAGAATATTTACTTTAAAGAAAAGAATATGGTATTACTTTCTATTTAATTTGGAATTACGTTAAATAAGAATATATTATCAACAGAGGGCATAAACTTTTAACAGATCTAATGAGAAAGAATTCATATACGATATACTATGGGCCACTGATTTTTAAGTTATACTTAGGTTACAAATCAAATTTATGAACCCCTCTACTACCCAAAGAAATGTCACTCAAAATTTACCTAATTTCAGGAAATCTATGCAACAGATGCAGAATCCAAGTTAAAATTTACTACCACAAACAAATTTTTGTGGATCAAACAATTATCATACTTAACCACTACTTTAGTTAAGATTATTAGAAACAAAAAAAAATACTGAAAGATAAATTTTCTACTTTATAATTAAAAGTTAAAAACAATATTCTGTCAATATGGTAAACTACCATGGGCTTCTGGCTTTCTCTCCTACCCCAAAATTGCCTCTGGAAATTTTGCCACCAAAGAGAAAACTACTATTGCAGGTGCCCATGCACACAGACACATATACATACACACACACTCTATAAGTCACTTCTGAGTAATATCAAAGGCTATTTAACTGGTATAGGGTGATAAGGTGGTTTGCAATCTAGGGAGGGGATGGCTAGAGTATGTAGCATTGAAGATAGGCAGAAAAAATCATTTCTGCAAAGAAAAATTTAAAATCTCTGCTCTTGCCTTGCAACACTGTCTTGTATCATTCAAAAGAGCCCAATGCCAGAGTTCCTAGGGTAACAGTCAGTCAAAGCCAGACTACTTCACTCCTTTACCCATGTATCTAAGTATAATAGATCAGACACCAAAGGAGACTGCTTCTCCCCCAAGCAAACCAGAATAATTGCCTGGAATTGTCAACCAACTCTGAGTCTTAGGCTCCAAGTGCATTCAAGTTATCCCCTCTCTCCAAGAAAATGCCATAGACTACTTCTGACCTTCATTCTTCCCAATGTTTATTTTGAGTAAATGACACTACACTACCCAAGATGCCTGAGCCCAAAAGCAAAAAACAAACAAAAAAAAAGTTCATGAGGTTGAAAAGTTCTCCCAGAAGACAGCATTAAGTAAAATTGAAAAGATATGAGTTATGGATGACAAAAAAGTAGCAACAGCTAAACAGTAGGGGGTTGACTATTACAACAAATGATTACAATTTCCCTTTTCTTAAGAAAATCCTTACTCATCAGTGGTATTTATTAATATCAAAAACAAAAGAAAATTATAAAGGTGTTCAATAGAAAAAAGCAAATAATCATCAAAAGGAGTCAGACTGATAATGCTAGGTTTCATAAGAAACATTATGAGAAAAAACTTAATTAAAAAAATTTTTAGTTGTAGATGGACAATACCTTTGTTTAATTTATTTATTTATATGTGGTGCTGAGTATCAAACCCAGTGCCTCACACATGCTAAGCAAGTGCTCTACCACTGAGCCACAACCCCAGCCCTAATTTTTAAAAGTTTTAAGAACTATCAATCTAAAATTTTATGGCCAAATTATTCACATATGAAAGCAATATAAAAATTGTATCAAGAACATCAGGCTTGAAGGCCATACATACATATATTAAAGAAAATTCTTGAGAAGGTAAAACAAGAACACAGGTAATTCCATAAGATATAGGTGATCAACCAGCTTAAATTTTTATATTAACAGTAAATTTAATAAACAAACAGGGGTACATAAACCTAGGTATTAAGTTATGATACATTACTATAACTTAAAACAGAATGTATTAACTTCAAAACCATCAGAAGACAGCCTGATGGAAAGTATAGGAGGATGATAAAAAGAAATAAGTACAAAAAATTTAAAAATAGAGAAAAATGTCAGTGGTAAATTCAAAGAGAATGTAATTTTCAAGAAGCATGAAGTTGAACTTACTCACAAAGAAGCAAATATCCCTACAAGACGACAAAAAAGAAATGTCAGTCTTAAAAAAATAAATAAAAGAAAGCGGAGATAGCTATCATAATATTAAGGGGGGGAAAAACAGAATTTATGGCAAGGGAAAAAAAAAGCTAAGTACAAGTGAATACCTCAGTACAAAAGAACAAGATATATACATTACAAACAGAAAATATCTAATAATGCAGCTTCAAAATGTACCAACCCAAAACTGATAGGATTATAGGGGAAAAAACAGATAAACTAGAGATCTTTAACATATTGTTCCAAGAAACTTAGATTAAGCAGGTACTCAATAAGCAGAAATGATGAGAACCTGAACAATAAAATAAGCCTGAGCTATTAATTTCAGCATGTCTTCATACCCGACAAATATAAAAGTGTTAAGGCAATAAAAGACAGATTTTTACAAATAAACCAAACTGTAAAAAGGAATAGAGCAAACTAAACAAATACATGTTAACATTAAAGCCAGAAATCAATAAGAATAATATAATTTTGATTAAACAAAAATATGTAAAAGGAAATGAAAAGCAAAACTAAGGTTTTAAGAAACATTACCAAGACCAACACAACTAGTGAAACAAATTGAAAAGCAAAATGAAAAGATTATGAAAAGGAAAATAATACTTTTCAAAATTTATCATAAACTATACTAGTCAATTTAAAACACAGATAAAATACATACCAGTTTAGAAGATAAAACTCTTAATAGACACAAAAAAGAATGTGAATAAACTGTGTTAAAAGAAAAAAAATGGTGGCCCAGGGGTTAGGGTTGTAGCTCAGTGATAGAGCACTTGCCTAGCCCGTAAGGCACTGGGTTCAATCCTCAGCACCACATAAAAATAAATAAATAAAATAAAGGTATAATAATACCTATCTATATGTCTATAACTAAAAATGGTGGCCTCAAATTCCCCAAGAGCTCTAATCCCCAAACTCCAAAAGCCCCAAGTATAATTTAGAAGAGTTGTATCAAATGTTCAAGGAAGAATGAATTCCTATTTTACTAAGGTGTTTCAAAACACAGAATTAAAAAAGTAATTGCAGCTGCATTCATTCATTAGGCAGTTTTGGAGTCTTGACTCCAAAGCCTGTTAAATATTATCACTCTGTGAAAGTTTCTTTGTGGAAGCACAAATATACATCCATGCACACATATGAACACAAGCTATTTCACTAATGAATAAAAACAGAATTATAACTATACAGCAATGTAACACATGATAATTAAGTTTATTCCAGGAAGATGGCTAGTTTGATATCTAAAATATGTATTACCAAAACATACATTATTATACACTGAACAGATTCAAGGAAAAAGCATTTGAATGAACACAGGAAAGGATGGCTTAAATAAATAGAAACTGAAGACTGAAGATGTAGCTCAGAGGTAGAGCACCTATATAGTATGTGCAAGGGCCCTGGCTTCAATTACCTGTGACAAACTTAAAGGGGGGGGGGGGACTGAATATAATGGAGTTTTTATATTAATTCCCAATATGACTAGAAATAAGATAAAGATGCTCATCTGTAATGCTAATGTTTAATACAGTATTTAAAGACAGAAGAATACAGTATGATCTAAGGTAGAAGATTTGAGCTAAAACTGCCATTATTTACAGATAAGCTCTTTTGTCAGGTCTGGTGGGAGAACATAATTACAAAAACAAATTCAGTAATGTTACTGGATAGAAGATCAACATTAAAACAACAATAATAAAAAAATCGATAGCATGCCTCTATATATCAGGAACAGTCAGCCAAAACCACAACAAAATAAAATTTAAGAAAGCAATACATTTAAAATACACAGAAATGTCTGAAAAAAAAAAACCTCTCTGATAAAGTGAAATTATAAGACCCAGAACACAATATAAATATGCAATATTAAAGATACACTTCTCTTATTAATCTACAAATTGTAATTCCTATCAAAATTTTAGTGTTTTTAAATTTTTAAAATTTTGGGAATTCTGATGAACTTAATTGTCAAATATGTGGTAATGTTGTGTCAATTTTATGATTATGTTTGGGGATGGGGAAAGATGGAAAGAAGCAACTTGCCTTGTCAGATAAGAAGACATACTATAAAGTCAGAGTAATGAAGTTGAAAATGACGAAAGAATACACAAAAAGGCTCATGAAACAAGAGAGTGTAGAATACTGTGTCTGGGGGTGGGAGGGTATGGAAGGAAGCAACTTGTCCTACTAGATATTAAGACATGACTACACTGTGTAAATAACAAAAAGAAAGACCAATGAAAGGAAGTGCTGCTCAAAGACAAATGCAAGCGTTTATAAGAACGTGATATGCAATAAATGTGGAGGGGTACACAAGTGAAATGGGGGAAAGAAGTTATAGTTTAGTGTTCTAAAACCTAGCCCCCTGGGGTAGGGCACGGATGTGTACTCACACCAAATACAAAGGTGGCTTCTAGAGAGATCAAAGACCTAAATGTCATAGGAAATGTGGAAGGAACTACGAAAGACTTCTATACATTTCAAAAATCGAAGCCACAGGCAAAAATTTTAAAAATAATTAAGGATTTGTTTAATGGAAGACTCCAAAGATAAAACTTAATAGAAATTATACAAAATATTGTTTATAATACCTAAAGCCAATATGGGAATAACAGCATCTAGAATACAAAAGGAATTCTACAAAACAAGACAGTAACCCCAATAGGAAAATGGACAAAGGGTGCAAATAGGAAATCTAAAAGTCTCACTATCTTTATAAAAAGCAGCTCAAAATTCATGAACAATCAGAAAATACAACAAAGTGCGCCCATAACTCTTAATTTGGTTTAAAAATAAAAACTTAAAAAACCCTATAAATCTGGATGATGCCAACTATTGGCAGAGACACAAAGATAAAGCAATCCTCATGCACGGGGCACAGTATTTCTGGAAATCATGCTAGAAATACCAAAAGCTTGCATCTCCTACAGTACTAATGATCCCACTATACATAATGTACACATCCAAAAGAAAATATGCACGATTTCTTTAAAGGAGATGCACAGGATGCCTATCACAATAGAATCTGTGTTGATGAAGAGAAGTCCATCAAAAGGTTCAAAAAACAAACAAACAAAAAACAGTGGACACATATCACAGAGAACCAAACATTTAGAAGCTAGTAGGTAGTGATATACTAGATACTACCTACTTATGTACTAGATACATAAGACCTATATCCAATATAACTGGATCTTAAAATCATAAAGCTGAGTTGTAAGTTTAATAAGATATTCAGGATATTGTTAATTATTATGTCACTAACAAAATATAAGAAATCGTTCTTCTAAATCTATGCATTTCTAACAAACCACTAAACAAATCTCAGAAATGGTTAAGATCAGTGTATCTCCTGTGTACTTAAACTAAAACTTTAAAAGATCAACTCTAAATGGGTGGTTCTAAAGCAAAATTCTAAACTTCCAATAATCCTATACTAGGTACTAGCAGACATTAGGTTTCCACTATTGCATACATAAATCTTAGACGGTTTAAAAAAACAGATATACCTGCAATGCTGATTATAGAAAAGATAAATAAGGAGGATGAAAAAGAACTTGTACCTTTCAATGTATCCTGTTGGTGTTTCTACCAGACCATCAAGTCTTTCTTGAAGAGCTGCAAGAATCTGAGGATTTTGCATCATCTGAACAGTCAGCTGACGCGCTTTAAAAAAAAGGGGGGGGGCATTGAAAGAAGGCTTTTATAAAAATGTATTAAGCTTTTTTAACAGGATAGTCCAATCGTGAAGTTTTCCTAATTGGCCTATATATAAAATGCTTGTGTAATAAGAAATGGGCAGGATAAGCTAAAGAAAACACACTGTAGGAAAACCCAATGTTTAGGAAAGCTCAGAACAATATTCTCTCTCATTTCCTATTCTTCCTAGTACCTTGTTTCACCCACCTTGTACTTTGGAAAGCTCAAAGCTTCATCCAGATGCCTATCTAATACTGTTGACAGTCCTTTGAAGGCATACAACACGTYAAAAACAAATATAGTGACAGCCTGGGATAAAGACGGAGGAATGACCTGGATGTTCATGTTTGTGTAATATACTTGTGTGTATACAAAGGAAGTTAATAGTTGAAACAGTCAAAGGTATAACTGAAGCCAAACAAGTTTTGGTTATTATTGTTTTTTAAAAATTATTAAAAAAAAAGTCCAAATCTAAGCCAAATTTATGCAAAACAAATAATATTGCTCTTTCTGTATTTACCTATATAGATATTATACAAAATTGCCATTAATTTTTCCCAATTATGTTCCAGACGGTCAAATTACTTCTGATATTAATTAAATCACTGGATAACATACAGCTGTAGTAACTAAAAGGCATTTTAGAAACATCAATAATGTCCACTGAGGACACAGTCTCATCTGTTTTAAAAAAACATTGAAAGATGAAAGCTATAAGTTCTAGAATCCTGTCACAATTTACTTTCATCTCTGGTTTAAAAATGAAAACATGAGTCATCTGGTGCTTCAATATTTTTGGCCCAGATAACAGGGTATACCTAGAGCAGCACAATTCCCTACTACTGCCACTTGTTTTAAAATTATGTGCTAAAGTAAATTTTGAATGATTTCTATCTACATTTAATGAACTACTTTCTTCTTGTTTGGAAGAGTTGAGTTTTAGAAAGGCATACATGCTGCATGTTTTCTATATTAAACACTAAACATATTAAAGCACTAGCAAAGTCCCCCCAACCCCACCACTTGAAACATTTCTAAATTTAGATAAAATCCACACAGCTCTTTAGTATAGCCATACTATGTGCTGCCCCAGCAGTAAAGGATTTGATGAGTGATTTCTGATGAGTCATTACATTCATTCCTGACTACCTCCTTTGTTTCTCCCCTCATCCTCCCTCCCTCCCTCTTACACTTACACACACACACACACACACACACACACTCTCACTCCCTCCCTCTCAAACAAAGTTACTGAACTGGAAGTATGGATTAGTGGGCAAAGGACAATGTAGAAGGGCCCCATTTTTTTTTTTTTTTTTGATGAAATGGTACTTATTACTCTCCTCTAGAAGTCCACTGCCAGCCACCACTGGCTCCTAAAGTAATTTAAAATAATACCTTTGATTTTTGTTTCTTCACCAGTTTCTTCTTCTTCTACTTCTTCAACATCATCCAAATCTTGATCAAGTTCAGACTGTTCTTTGCTACAATATCATAGTATCACACCATGGTTCAAATGTACCAGTTACAAAAAAAAAATTATAAAAACTTAAATTCATTTTCTAAATCAATATGCTTTCTTTCAAAGATAGGAAATTCAAAAGGTAATTCAGTTTCTTAACTTCATAGGTAAGAACTAACTGGAAGTACATAAACTTTCATTTAAAAGCATCTAACCAATTATAAAGTTTAGGGAAATGTGTTGGTGATATAGTAGTGAGCACAACTGCCTTCCAATTATAAAGTACATAATTCCATCTTTAAAAATGTAGTTTGGGCAATCTGAGGGGAATGTCCTTTCAGGTGGCATATGCTTTTGACCTAACATCATCTATTGAGTTCATTCTTCCTAGTATGAGCATCCTCAGTTTATATAGGAAGCAAAACACAAAGTCTACCATTTTCTAGCCTACCTTGTAGCTAAATGTGGCAATATGACTGTTTTGGCAGTAAGATAAAAAAAAGCAGAAGTAGAATAGAACTTAGGAAGAATCCTTAGAAAATAGTAGATAGCTAGGAAGTCCTTTTTTTAATCTCACTTCTTTCCTTCCCCCCTAGAATATGGATTTGATTGTTACAGTTCCAGCAGCCACACAGAATGATGAACACCCAGAAAATGTAAGCCACCAAGATAACTATAAAGGAGTTGGGAAAAATAGAAGGACCTTGAGTCCTTGATGGCTGGTGGAGCAACCATACCAACCTGTAGTCCCTATCTTTGGACTTTTCTCCTTTTTCTTTACTTCACAGTAAAGACGGAGAAGAACTGTTAAGATATCTAAGCCTACTTCTCGCTTAGAGTAAAATCAGGAGGATCTCATTGAGAGAAGGTAAAAAGATAGCATCCTTTTCATTTAGTCTTAAAGAATCACCAAAAATCTAGTTTTTGAACATGAGATTATATCTAGCATTAAAAAGGGGGATAAAGGGGCTGGGGTTGTGGCTCAGTGGTAGAGAGCTAGCCTAGCATGGTCGGGGCCCAGGTTCGATCCTCAGCACCACATAAAAATAAAGGTATTGTGTTGTGTCTATCTACACATAAAAAATAAAAAGGTATTTAAAAAAAAAGGGGGGGATAAAGATACCTAAGATCAATAACAGGGTCATGATACAAGTCTTTGAATTTGAATTTTAATATTTGGATTAGAGATTTAGTTGCTTCATGTCTAAACAGCATTTGAAAAATTATTTTTCATACAGGAACAAATACTAACTCTCATACAGGCACAAGTATAGAAAAGGTGGTAAGCTAACAAAATCTAGGGCCCAGTCAACTAAAGAAAAAAATTCAGCCCTTAGAAATGATGATTCATGCAATTTGTTTTACTTTGTACAAAGTACTCGGTTTATACTTAGTAAAACATTGCAGAAATAGTCGAGCATGGTATAAACCTAAGTGTATACCTGCCTAAGAGTTTAGAGTCACAGGCTAAGCTAAAGACAACATGGAGCAGCCATATATATTCAATCATCTACTGAACATCCACATCTTAAGGCTTTAAACACAGGTGCCCACAAACTATGTCAGATGCCCAATTCAGCCCACTTTCATTTGGGTGGGTGGGTACTGGGGATTAAATCCAAGGGGCACTTTACCACTATATCCCCAGTCCTTTGTGATTAAGACAGGGTCTTACTAAGTTGCTAAGACTAGCCTACAACCTGTGATCCTCCTGCCTCAGCCTCCCAAATTGCTTGGATTACGAGCATGCACCACCGCCAAGCCTGGCTCTCCTACTTCTATTTTTACAAATGGAATTTTTATTGAAACACAGACAAACTAATTCATTTATGTATCACCATAGTCGCTTTCATACTACATGACATGAGTTGGGTATTTACGAGAAATCACATGGCCTAAAAATGTCTAAAACATTTTCTTTTGGTCCCTTTACAGAGAAAAGCTCACTGACTCCTACTTTAAAGAACAAAATGCCCTTTCTCTCAGTCACTGAGGGCTAAGAGGTATCTAAAATTAAATAATAGGGGAGAAAGAAATCAAGGCACCATAACCAATTTACTATTTTTCTAAAAATTTACAAACTGAGGGCTCCCAGGTTAATAAGGTAGTACTGCACAAACTCATATGATAATTCTRAATTCTCCAAAATGTCCATTAGCATTATGAAAAAGGGTTTCAACATACAGAAAGACAAGGAGACAATAGCAGCAAAACTCTGGAAACCAGAAAACAGACAACAGATAATCAACTTCACTTGAGAACTAAAATGTAAACAGTGGGAAAAGCTAAGAACAACCCAAATACAGAGTTTTCAAAAAAACAAGAACTGGTAGCATCAACTATACTCCTATAACTAGGGCTTAAGGCTGAAGATGACTAAAACAAGAGAGGACTGGGTAAAAACTAATAAGCAGTTAAATCCCTAGATTTTCTACTCCACCCTTGTAGAAATATGGAAGTTTCATCTCTGAAAGATGGAACTTCTGAACTGGTACTGGGAGACAGACACAATTTAGAGTACCTAAGATACATGACTGCTTGGAAGCCAAGCCTATACCCAGACACTACAGACGGAGAAATCACTACTGACGGGGGGTGGGGGTGGGGGTGGAGGGGGGGGGTGGGGTGATTCTGGAAATTGGGGGCTTCTCAAAACAAATACCCATTCTAATGATGCTACTTTAAAATTCCAAATCAATAAGCTCTCCTACCCAACCTTCAAATTTTCTAATCATCTTTTCAATGTCTTTCCCACTGCCCCTACCCCTAATCCCTCAACTTAATGCCAATCTTAATGAGCAGATAACCAAATACTAGCTCATATTTGAGGAAATCTCTTACATCTCTTACATTATTGAGACTAAAACAAATGGGTGAAAGAAAATTAAAGAGCAAATAGATTATACAGAGGGAAGAAACATCCAGAGAAAAGATACTACCATCAATGAAATGGAATAGGATGGTTAAAAAAAAAAAAAACCAGGAACAAAAAGCAAATGAACTTTTAGAAACTAAATACAATAGAGATTTAAAATCTAAAACTGGAAAAACAAGGTTTCTTTAGTTCTGTCCAGAAAGAACAAAGAAACTAAGATGAAAAATAAAATGAGGTGATTAGAAGACCTATCAAACATATGACATCTACCAGGATGTGCAGAAGGAGAAAACAGAAACAAGCCCCCCAAAAGGTCAAGAATATTCCTTAGAACTAAAAGCTACTGAATAAAAAGGGTCAAGAATATTCCTTAGAACTAAAAGCTACTGAACTGCTGGATTGAAAGGGTCCACCACTGACTGTCTAACACAAAGAGATAGAATAAGCAAAACAATGGGAAATTTTTCAAAACTCCAAAGCCATAATAGCTTCCAGAAATATTATTTCAAAAATATCACATGCAAATAATCAAGAATTAACTTTTAACTTCAACACAACAACACTGCAAGCAAGGTAACAATAACAATGGAGTAGCACCTTCAAAATTCTGATGAAAAATAATTTCTACCTTAAAATTCTAACTATCAAGCATAAAGTAGAAGTCATTTTCAATCATATCATGTATCAAATAATCTACTTCCCTTGTACTCTTCCAAGAAAGTACTAAAGAACCATAAGAAAAGAAAAAGTGTAGAATATAGCAAACTCAAAGAGAAAGAAATGGAAACACCAGGAAGATAGTATGACAACCTTACAACCAGGGTTAAGAAATMCAGATGAGAGCAGTGTCTTTGAGACACAATCACTTTCAGAGAMAATATCATTAAAAAGCCTGCTGCCTCTATTTTTTTTGTATGCTAAAGACAGTACGTAGACATGGGAATACTTGCTCAAATTCTCCAGTGTACTTGCATGTTGTTGGCCCTGAAGTAAAATTATCTGCCCTTCTACCACTATGCACTAATGCCTAAAAACAGCAACAAATAACCCCATCATTTTCCTCAACCCCAAGTGTTCTTTTTAACCTATATGAACTGGCAAGCTACTATAAAATCAAAGGCAACAGATGTTGGGCAGCTCATCCTTTTCCATTCTCCCTGATTATATTTCTGCAAGACATCCATCCACTCACACTAGAAAACTACCACACAACTTAAAACTGTTTCCCAAGATACGTACTTCAAAGTGCATAGCACCTTGYCCTATAGCTTTTCCCAAAATGGAAACCAGAAAAGCTTCAGAAAAGCTTAAGCCAGACTATGACCCAAATAGTCTCTTGTTTTTACTGTCCTATCTTGGAGCCTTTAACTAACAGTAGTTAATACTGTTTTACTTAACTAAGTTTGGCTTGCTATTCAGCTCTTCAAAATTAAATATTGATTAATAATTTATCAGTAGTAAAACTCTAAAAAGAAAAGCAAAGAAATAAATTAGACAAAAGCCAGATAGTGTTTACATACCTAAAGAGGAAAGGTGGGAAATGCAAGTTAGAAAGGGCAAAAGGRGCTTCTAATAGTAATGTTCTAAAATTAACTTGTGCTTATGTCTTTTTGTTTAAATTCTATATATACATTTTATATACATCTTGTACCTATAGTGTATCTTCCTTTTATATACATCTTATAAACACTGTAATATGCCCATTATAATAAAAGTAGGAAAATCTCTGGGAAATACACATATGGTAAAAACTCTGCAAGTACTTATGCCCTGTTATAGTTCTCAGCACTTTCCTAAGAATACACACTGACAAATGATTTACCATGAAAGTGATTATACATACTGTGTTTTTTCATTGATGTGCTGTACCCAACTTTCATAATAGCAAGTATCAAGCATTAGTCATTACCATACATTTTCATAATATATATAATGTATACAGAAGTTAACTACGATACAATACAAAGTGATGCCAAATCTCTCAAAAAGTATCAACTATTTGCCACTTACTTGTCAATGTCTGCCATGTTGTAGGAACTTCAAATACCTATGGAGAGAAACATCAGTGTTAAAATATTTTTTCAGGAGAATATTGCTTAAAACAAACATGTTAGAGTAGGCTTTTAGAATMTGATATAAAAATTATTATATTAACATCATCAGTAAAGAATTCCTATTTGCTGTAAAAGGAATAGTGTTACCAAAGTCTTTTGTTCAAATTCTTTTAATCATAAATGTTAAATTTTTGCTGAACTTTTAGGCTATTCAGGACATCTTTGAACAAATCCACTTTACTTTTAACAGTATTATTTTTTTATCAAATTCAAGTTAAAAAAATATTTGCTACCTATTGTACTTATGCTCCTGGAGGTATTAAAAAAATAAAGGTTTAGTAATCTCTACATCACACATCAGCCCTTTAAAACGATTACACATTAATTGTAAAGATCTAGGTTCCAACCTATTATGTCAGACAAACCTTCTGTATCTCATCTCACATGACTGATGTACAATCATTCCCACCATCCCCTGCAACAACCTCCCCTGGTAATGCTGATACACTGTTAATTAACACTCTGATTACCAAATCTAAGTAAGTTTACTGGAAAGATTGATTAAATGACTTAAATTCCTAAGGCTTAGAGAATACTTCTGAGAGAGGGAAGAAAACCTTAAGGTAAATGTGTTATATACTTAAGTGAAAAATGGCTGAATGTTAAGTCATCCAGATCACTGAAAAAAAAAAAAACCTAAAACAAGTTTAGACAGAATTCCACATTAAAAAGTCAAGTTTTCATCTTTCAGCCTTAGGATTAATTCCACAAAATCTTATAAGATGAACTACTCTCATAACAGCATGCTTAAATATTACTTAAGAGTATTTAAGGTTCTGATTTTAAGTAAGTGGTAATATTTGAGGAGTATTACTGATCTAGTATCTGTCCTTTAATTATAAAGAAAATATTTCTTCCTAATATATATTTAATATACCTTCCTTTTGTTTAAAAATGTTTCCTTAAATATTTCCTAGTAGTACTGACAAAATTCTCCAGTGATACTGGGCAATTAGCATATATCTACAAAATGTTTAGCAAACTACTGATGAAACCGAATTCAAAAATTAAGAAAAATATTGAATCTTCAAAGAAATGTATTTGGGATTCTAAGTGTCTACCAAATCATTGAGAATTTTCTTTCAACACAGGGAAAAATTTAATAAATATTCTTTCTTAAATCTGAGTTATGTCCTCATAAACTAGTACTTTTCTGGACAGTTATTCCTGGTTAAAGGAATATCAAAAGCAAAGTTTAAATATATCCATCTCCAGCCTTATTTACTTATAAAAATGTTCCATAAAGAACTACTGAGCGGGCTGGGGATGTGGCTCAAGTGGTAGCACGCTTGCCTGGCATGTGTGCGGCCCGGGAGCGATCCTCAGCACCACATACAAACAAAGATGCTATGCCCACCGAAAACTAAAAAAAATATTAAAATTTTCTCTCTTTAAAAAAAAAGAACTACTGAGCATCTAAGGCCTTGTTTTTCATATTCACCTTCAAGATCCCTCCAAAGCCCCAGTGAACAAATCCTATACATCTTGAACAACTGGTTAAATAATTCTTCRTTGTACAAACTCCTATATAGTTCTATTTCTTTCTATCCCAAGATGTCTCAAGTATATAATTACACATTAGTGTAAGCTAAGGTCTCTCCCAACTTTTCAGATGGGACTCATTACATAAATTTATATGCTTTTACCAATCACTATTCTTCAGAGTAATATACACAACTTATATGTTATAAATTTATTAGCATGAAATGCACATAAGGAAATGCTTTATAGTGAAAATGGAAGCAATTCTCAAGAGCTGATATGGAAATGTAAGGTATAAGATATATGGCAAAATCCCATTAGGACATGAATAAAATATAAGTATGCTCATTCATGTACATACTTTTATAATATAAACAAAACCTTTACATAAATTTTATTGGTTCTGAGGAATTGAATCCAGATCACATGCTAAACACATAACTATGATTGAACCACACCACCAGCCCCTTAAATAAAACCTTTTTTCTATATCAGAAACCTGAAAGTAGTTACTATAAAACATGAGAAATGAGAATTTTAAATTTTTTTTTCTTTTTAGTTATATATGACAATAAAGTATAATTTGACTATAAAAACATAGAATACATTTTGTTCTAATTAGGATCCCAGTCTTGTCATAGTACATGATATAGAGATTTACCATGGTGAGAACTTATTTTTCCATTTTGCATTACTTGGTTTTCCAGTATAAAGAAGTTTATTTAAATCAGTAATATTTTTCAATTTCCTGGGTTGGAAACATTAACATATTGTCTAATAAACCTAGCAATTGGAATATGGAAAAATATATGGGGAAAAAACTCAGAATTTCAGATTTAAATTTTTAGGCCATTTTAACATGTTCACAGAACTATCTTCAATGTCCAGTTTTCAGCACTATCTCTAGATTCTGAACTTTTGAAATAGAACTTTTTAATGAAGATCCAAACTGCCCATTCAGGAAAATTAGATTTTTTGCTTGTGTACATTCATAAAACTGGGCCTAATTTCAGTTAAATCATTATGGTTTACACTACCTTTGAAGCAATCAACAGGGAAACAACTTCTGGCTTCATTTCATCATATATAAAAAGTTAAAAAAAATTCCCTCATTGGATTGAATTTATTTCAAGGAGTATACTCCACTCATATGTACAGCTTTATATTTTTATCAGCATTTAAAAATGTTTTCATCCTATTACAAAAAAAAAAAATTCAAGGAACAAATCCATGTTAAAACTTTAACCAGAGTTTGATACCTGGTAAGAACTCTAAAGAACACATGCTATTTTCATCCAATCCATTTTTAATTATACCATTGAACAGTTCTCCAAAATAATAAGCAGGGATGATAGTTTAAAAAAATAGATTATTTTAGTCTTGACAAATATACCATGGTAACTTTAAGATACTAATATTAGGAGAAAATGGGAAAGGGGCATACAGAAACTCTCTGACCTATGTTTACAAATTTCTTGTATACCTAAAATTAAAAGTTAAAAGAAGAAAAAAAACCAATAGGTCCAATGGAGTGCCCCCCSCCTCCAAAATCTTCATTTTTAACCCCTACCCCTTGCAGCTTCTGAGGCAGGTGGCTCAGATAATCAGATTACACTGAAAAATACAGGTTTATATTAATACCTACATTGCTTTTTTTTAATCTGGTTAACATTATATCAAACAATGTTGGACATAAAACTGCACTCCAAAATCTGTGAAAAACTTTTCATTCCTGATAATGACAAGCTATATTATGCAGATTAATACTGCCAATAAAAAATAATTAAAAGCAAAGAACAAATTTATTAAAATCTTAATAGCAYTGAAACATTAATAATATAATACAGAATTACTACTGGTCAAAAAATGAAGGCAAAATAGGAAAATACTTTTGCCCTGAGGTCAACTGCCATTATCAGCAAATGTGAACTCTGGTTTTAATTTGAAATCAAAATTTTGAGTCTATCCTATGAGGAATCTTTATAATAACTTTCTGAAAATAAGTAGCAACCCCAAAGTGCTATGTCTTCAGAGATTATAAGCCAACTCTCTTAAACAAATGGCCCAAATTCATTTCATCTGTGTTGCTGCTCCAAACTCCAAGATAGCGTCGTCAAGTATCCTGGCAGTATACTCACAGGCACTTGCTTATCAAATGTAAGTGAAAAGCACCTGCATTCTAGATCTCTTAATAATTCATACAAGTAATTTCCAAAGGCAACCAGAACAACCTAAAGGAATACAACAGAAACCAGCCCTACAAAGACTTAAGTATTATTGTCAGTTAGACTATAAACAAACTGTAGACAAAGGCCAAAAAACAACCAGTCTTACTAAGTCTAAAAATATAGTATCGGGAACTGTAGGTATAGTTCCGGAACCAAGTGCTTGCCTGGCATGTGCAAGACTATGGGTTCATTGGAAAGGAAGAAAGAGGAAAGGAAGAAAAAACAGTATCTGCAAGAAATAGACATGTATTAAGTTAAGAGCAGATTTGGAAAAGAATTTAATATATCAAATTAAAAGGGTCGCCTTTAGTAGATTAAACAAAATTGAGAATTAAGCGAGCTAAAGAAAGCAAAGAACTATTCTAAAACAGAGCAAGAGACTAAAGAATGGAAGTACTGAAATGAAAAGACATTTTAGGATACAACAAAGTCTAAAAAAGATTTCATGCCTGTAATAACAGAGGCTTGAAAGGCTGAGGCAGGAAGATCACCAAGTTTATCAGCAGCTTAGCAAGGCCCTAAGCAACTTGGTGAGATCCTGTCCCAAATAATACAAAGGGCTGAGGATGTGGCTCTGTGGTTAATTAAGTACCTGAGTTCAATCTCTCATAGGGAAGAAAAAAACAAAAAACTTCAAGTTCTAGGAGGAAAAGATAGGATACGATACAATACATGAACAAATTAATAGCTAAGCACTTTCCAGAACTGATGAAACAGACACCAATTCACAGATTCAGGGAGTTTTATCAATTCTACTCAAGATAAATAAAAAAGAAAACCATACTTAGATAAATAAGTAAAAAAGCAAGATCCCAAAGACAAAGAAGTCACCTAAGAAAGTACACAAAAGATTAATTTCAAAGGCATAGCTGACAGCTGGCTTCTCTTCAATATCAGATACCAAAAGATAATAGAATTCACAACTTTCTGAAAATAACTGATGATCTTAGAATACTATATGCAAACAAAGTAATCTATAAGAATGAAAACAAAGCAAATACTTCACTTAACAATACCTCCCTCCAAGCACTATCACTGAAATATTCTGTAGTATAATCTTCATATAGAAGGCAAGTGAYTCCAGATGGATACTTGAAAATACATTAAGGAAAAAAGATTATCTGTGTATATCTACATGAAGATTGTGTCTGTTTTAGAGATGAGGACCCATTAGGTTCCCAGGCTCAAAACTCTTGGGCTCAAGCAATCTTCCTGCCTCAGCCTCCCTAGCACTATGACTATAGGCACACACCACCATGTCCAGCTAAATAAGGATTTTGAAAGAAATAAAATTACCATTGTGAGTGTTAAAACATTAAAATTATCACACTATTTGAAGTCAGTGATGTGAATAAGCACTCCAATGTTTGGTAAGTATGCAAATAGTAATTTCCAGAATGACTACCAAAAGATTAAAAAACAGCATATATAACTTCCAAAATAAAGTAATGAAAACACACACTTTTAAAATAAACCTGAAAAGTTGGGCACAGTACTGCACATCAGTAATCCCAGCAACTCCACAGGCTGAGGCAGGAGGATTCCAAATTCTAGGCCAGCCTAATCAAGGTAGGAAGACCCTGTCTCAAAATAAAAAAATAAAAAGGGCTGGGGTAGAAGTTGGTGGTAAAACATCCCTGGGTTCAATTTTTCAGTACCAAAAAATAAAGAAAAGTAAAATACTCCTGTAAACTTCAGAGTAATTACATTAAATGTAAAAGTAAATGTTCCTATCAAAGATTCTAAGGCCATGCCTGGGTTACACCTTGATCCCAGTGACTTAGGACACTGAGGTGGGAGAATCACCCAGATCGACTCCATTCTTGGTGACTTAGCAAGACCCTCTCACAATTTTTTTTAAAAAGGAGGCTGGGGATGTAGCTTGGTAGTAGAGCACCACTGGGTTCAATCCCCAGTACACAAAAGAAAAAAAATTTCCTAAGAYTGCCTTCAAGAAAATTCAGTGTCATTCTATGGATAAGAAATTCATCATCTAGTTTCAAAACTCAGTATGAACCTAATATATTAACATCAGAAAAAAACAAACTTCAAGAGTATTACTAAATATAAAAAGGCCACTTTTTCCAAAATGGTTCAATTTATAATCCAATATATAATGTACAGAAGATCTTAATGGAAAGGCATGGTGATTCCAAACAGTATTCCTGAAAATAAATCTTAATCTTGAAAATTCTAATATGAAGAAAATCTTTCATTAGAAGGCAGGCCATTGACTAAATCAGGCCACAAAACCTGATCATTTTGTGGTCTTTTTAATAATCAGATGTCTAGACACCTACTATCAACTTCTTACCATTCTGGTAATCCTTATTCTGAGTAAATTGCCCATACTATCAATGAATACGAAGAAAGCCAACATTTATGAAAACACATTTGGCCACTCTGTAAGGAATTATAGGATTTCCTCCTACTTTGGAAATAAAATATTAAGTGCCTTGCTTAGCAACACAATCCTGAAGTAGTTAGGTTTTAAAACCTGACTTTGAAAACAAAAGCCCATTCCACTATTCTAAAAACCTGGGTACTTTCCAATCAGCCTGTTACATAGATTATTCACTAAACTAAATCATTATTCCTTTACAAAAAATGACTACTTCATGATGAAACAGCCAATCACTAAAAAACAAAAATGGTTTAAAGCCAAAGAAGGAAACAATAATACCCCAGGATATAGTTTTCCCTTTACCTCAGACCTCATTCCAAATGAACTTTAAGCAAAAATTTTTAGATAGCACTGCATTTGGCTACAACACAACCCCTCAACTTAAACAGCTTATTTTTTTACACTCAGTTTTTTCATTTCAGTGCTATCAATAGTCAACCGAGAACTTTGTATTAGACTCCCAAGCAAAATGAATTCCTATGAGAACACTGTTCTCTTCTGTCCAAAAATATCTATAAAGTATCATCTAATCCAATAACAGGGACACTTATCCTAGGACCCAGGACACTTGGTCAAAACTCATCCTACTTACAAAATTTATCCTCATGGTACTTCCAAAGTTACGTGTACGTGCAGCATACATAACTTGCGTACATATGGCCCAACTACATGGAAGAACACCTCATAACTATACAATGCTGTAGCTTTTCCCTAGAGCACTGTAGAATCCAAAATATAGCAGAACAGTTTAAGGGACATTCTTCAAAAACCACTACAAAAATCACCTCATTTTAAGTCATCATTGCTCAGTTATGTAACCCTGGATAGTTTCTTTAACCATGACATACTGTTTCCTTGTTAAAATATTAATACTACCTACCTACCTTTAAGAGCATCAAATGTGAAATACTCATAAAAGAATTTTAAAACAAGGCTTGAATAATCACCCTGTAACTGCTGTTTTATTATTTTTCCATTGTACTTTTGTATTCTTACTTTATTTTAAAAAATGATTATCACAGGCCACGTTGGGGGAGAGGGTGGCTATCAACAGGCACAAACTTTGCAGCAAGCAAAGTATTCAAATAGGCAGCAATAAATGGCAGAATTGGTAACTCAAGGAAGGTACAGAAGCCACTTTCCATGACACCAGTAATGTGCTCTAATGCTGTTGATGCACTGAAAAACTTAACAAAGAGAGGTGTAAAGCAACTATTCCCACCTTCTAACCACCACTCTTATTCAGATGAAATGAGTTTAAATGGGACTTAAATATTTACTCAAAGTATTAGCCAATTTGTATACGGGGTAAAAGGGGGAGTTCATAATCCACGTGAATCAAACCGTGTAATATGATGTATTAAGAACTATGTAATGTTATGAACGACCAAAAAAAAAAAAAAAAAAAAGTATTAGCCAAGACTACAAATGATTTCAGGTTTGATTAAACCTTAAGACTCCAAATAAATTGATCATTATTATTTCTATACTGGAGAAAATGAGGGGCTCATTCTTTAATCTTTTAATTATATTGAGAATTTACAACCAAGCAAAATACTAAAGTAACAAAATTTTGTTTTGACATCCTCAGACCTTTATAAATCAAGCATTCTGCTTCTTTTAGCCCCTTCTATAGAAAGACCACTTGTTTTGAAATATTTTAAGAATTTACAATCAAATTAATCACCTGGGGCCAATATGGGCAAATTGAATAATAAAATAAGTTATGGCATTTAGATCACATTACTTCTGCTAAGAGTGTATCAAAAAAAAAAAAAAACTTATGTAAGGACAGTCATGTGCCTCATTTAGTATTAACTTAGTAATTCGTTCAATTAATGGGTATAATATAAAAAGCAGATATTTCACAATAGATAAAATTTACAAAGATTTGCACACAAGTATGGTGAAGTTTCTCATTTCATTACTTTAACCAACCACTGGCTTGAAAAGAACATTTTAAAATCACAAAAGATTAAGTCTTCTAAGTACACCTGCTTATGTTAGCTCCAGTCTTAAAAGTACAACTGCACGGTTTGGATTTAGAACATGTATTTCCACTTTAGCAACTTCAAACAAGCTTGAGACACTAAAATCCCTAAAGACCACTGAAAACCTCATTTCCTCCAGTTTTAAATAAATTACATATATGTGTATGATTTTTCTCTTATCTAAAGGTAGAACTATTACTTCTAAGATAAGGAGCATTAATCTAAGCTGACAAGAAAACAGGACATGGGCTGGGGGTGTAGCTCAGGGGTGGAACTCTTGCCTACCATGCACAAAAACCTGGGTTCAATCCCCAGCATGCAAAAAWAAAAAAAAAAAGAGGACACAGACACTACTTTCAAAAGATGTTTTGATGGTATTTTCAAAAATAGCAAATTTTCTTTTACACCTCTCCTGAAAATTTTCAACCGATTTAAATTCTGAGATTTTCAAAGTATAGTGTTTCTGGAACTCATCAGACCAGTAATAGTTTAAACCAGGGACTCCTTGAGGACAGCCTGTGCCTGCTTGAGTGATCCTTTGTACTAGCCCTCCCCCACAGGACCTCAGTGGCCACCTCCTTTAATTGCCAAGAGATTTTTACTGAAATGGGGCACATTGACAAGGTAGCAGGTACTCACTTGGGTTGGTCAGTTTATATTAACCSGCCACCCCATTCACCTTAAAAATAGCTAGTGAACTATCCTATTCTGGGAACCTCATTAAAGGAAATAATGTCGGAAAGCCTGTGAGAATCTAAACTATAACAAGCCAAACCCTTTATCGTCTTAGAAACGTTTGAAGGTTTAGACAGATGAGGATCAATCCTTCCCCTTCCCCACTACTCAAAAACAAAGGTGGGTGTAGACACCCACCTTCCCATCTTAAGTTCTAACTGTATCTGGGACACACAATACTATCTTTTGTTAATAACAGCTAAAATAAGCGCTTTACACGCATTAATTCTTTAAAATCCTGGCAGTGTATTAGCTAACATTCGAAATTTCCTCTGTACCAATAAAAAGATTTAAGACCAACGAGAAGCAGTTAAGAGTTGGAAACCCAGGGGACGGGGACTTATGAGCTCATCATTCCTTTTCATACCCTACCAACTCTACAACTTTCACTGAAAGTAAGAATAGCACCCCCCCACACACACTCGCACCCGCTGCAAGGGTCTCCAATCTTGGCCAGGAGGCGGCCACGCAGCCCCCTCACCACGTGTCGAAGGAAGCCGCCGGGGGTTTCCCCGCCCCGCGCGGCCACCGCCCCCAGTGGGCGGAGAGCCCCGCAGCCTCCCCGCCCCCCTGCCTCGGGCCTGGTCCCTCAGCGGCCCCTCCCTCCCTCCCGTCGGAATTCGCAGCCTTCCCGGTTCTTTCCATCCCCCAGCGGCCTCCCTCGGGGTATTACTTTGGGGGGGAAAGACAGAGGCGTCGAGGTGGCGGGCTCCACACTGGCCCGGCCCGCATTCCCAGCGCCTCCCGCTCCTCGCCGCGCGGCAGCCGACTCCTCTAAAATACCCGGGCGTCGCCGCGGCCTCGCTCCCGTCCGCGCGCAGAAGCCGGTGGGGCCCCGAGAAACCTTAGGCACGGTAGGGCGCGCCGACCCCCCGCGTCTCCTCAGCGGCCCCTGAAAAAAGCACCGGTCGGTCCTGGGCCCCTCTCAGGCTGCCGTGTCCAGACTCCGCAGACCACTCCGGCCTCACCGGACCACCCGGAGGCCCAGGGCAGCCAGCAGCCACTGCTCTCGCTCCACCGTCCCTCCCCTCCGTGAAGGCCGCCCGACCAACTCCACGTTCCCCGTTCCCTTTCAGGCACCCATCCGTTACCGGCAGCTAGTACGGGGAGCCAGGCGATCGGAGCTGCGCAGGCAGTGACTCAGGGAGGCAGCGGAGACGGGAGGAGCAGGAGGCGGCGCCGAGAGCAGATGGCGCTAAAAAAGACCCGAGAGCCCGCCGCTCGCGCTCATATACAATTAGCGTCAGCACGTAGGGCCCGCTCCGCCGCCCTCCCCCAGGCCTCGTCGTCTCCTGGCAACACGGGCGGGAGGCGGGCCCGGGCCTGGTTGCCTAGTAACAGAACTGTCCTTCTTCTGCGGAGGTCTCCAACCAGCGTGGTGGGCTCTTCCTCGGCGTCCAGCTTGGGCTCCTCGGGTTCCCGCCACGGTCTATCCGCCTCCCTCTATTGAGCACCCCGCCATCTCTTTTCTCTCCTGGCTTCGCTGAAAAAGAAACCGTAACCCCATTCGTAGTCGGGCAGGGCCCTGACCCTCCAGTCTTACCCCTGGCCCACCTTGGGGGGCGAGGGAGTGTAGGCAATGAGGATGGTGGCCAGCAGCCCAACGCTGCGCTCGCGCTGCCCTTGACGTTGATCCCTTCTTGGTTCCCATGCCTGTCCTGGCCTAATTCCTTCAACTCCCAGGCCTCTGGAAACCATTTTCCTTCCTCACCTAAGAACTACCGTTCTTTCCTCCTGACTACTTTGGCGGCATCTTCTGCCGGTTTTACTTGTCCTTAGAGTGTGTCCACGCCTTCTAGGGGTGCCCTTCGTCTATCTCTCTTACCTAATGAGCAGTCCCTTATTTCTGCTTATCATTTGATGGATGAAATTGGCATGTTTTCTGTGTTCTCAGCTTACTTTATAATGAGACCATTCAGTATGTCCGCTGTGTCATCTTTCTAAAAAAAGTAAACCCTATGTAAATCCTAACTTAGGAAACCTCTTGGCTAATTTTCAGTTGACATTGGATTGTCTAATAGTAACTTTCAGTGATTCTCAAAGTGTTGACTGAGTGTCCCCAGGTCCTTCAAAGAGGACGGTCAGAACTATTTCTATAATAATACTAGGACATTGGTAAACAGTATTCATAGGACATTGTTTACCATTTACACTCATACTCTCTCAAGCCTATGGCAGAGTTTTCCAGAGGCTCYCCGACATGTGACAAGGAAACATTGAAATAGAAGCAGACAGGAGAATCCAGTCATCTGTTGTAAAACCATATATGAAAGAGCTTTACAGAAATGTGAAACAACAATGCCACTCGTTTTGTTGTTGTATTTCATACAGAAGATTTTTCCTTGTTGCCATTGATTGCTTTATTATTGTTTTGAATTGAAAAACTTCAAATTTTCTAAATGTTAATTTCTAATATGATAAATATAATTACAATGCACATAACAGTTCTTTGGAATTCTCAATTTTTAAGAGTGTAAAGGGAAAAGTTTGAGAACCTCTTCTCTAAATGTTGCTTCAAACTGCCTAGAATCTTCTATATGAATCCTCACATTTAGTAATTATGTGTTCCATTAAAGTACCCAGCTTTTTCTGGGTACCCCCCAATCTTAATGAAATTGGTTCTTTTCCCTGATCTACAGATGCCTTGGTTTACTTGTTTCTTTTAGTTTTTCATGCATGATTCTCTTGTTTTTCTAGACTTCTTCCCTACTCAATATTGATATAAAGCCAACAAAGATTGTGATGGCATGGATAATGGCACTTCAGGAAGAACCCACTATACATGAACAAGGTAGACCCATGCTCAATAGTATATGGCACTGACTCATTTCAATAGGAGCCTCAAGAGTGTTACATTCTGTTGGGAGTGGTGGCACTTGCCTGTAATCCCAGTGGCTCAGGAGGCTGAGGCAGGAGGATGGAGAGTTCAAAGCCAGCCTCAGAAACAACGAATCACTAAGCAACCTAGTAAGATCCAGTCTCTAAATAAAATATAGAACAGGGCTGGGGATATAGCTCAGTGGCCTAGTGCCCCTGTGTTCAATCCTGGTACTCACCCCCCCACCCCTCAAAAAAAGTGTTATATTCTAATTAAAGCTATGCCCAATGCAAGATAATTAGCATATTAAAATGAACTAAACTTTCCATAACCTTTATAGTGATAGAATTTCTGAGATAAAATTGAGATGTTAGCCTGGAATGTTATCTCATTCCAGGAAGCCTCACCAATTTCATGGCTAATTAGCAACTTGTTAATAAAAAAGAAGGTTAGGGGCTTGGGGTGTAGCTCAGTATTAGAATGTGTACTTAGCATGTATAAAGTCCTGGGTTCAATGACCAGTACCAAAAGGTAAAAAATGAACATCTTTGAGATCATAATGAATTACAAAAACAAGTTATATGATGTAATTTGAAGATGATTAGAGTGCACATTATTGGGAGAATTGATAGTAAAATGTGGTGGATGTACATCATATAGTATTAAGTATCAGAAAACTGAATGTAAAATGGTTAATACTACACAGATGAATCTTTAAAATGAATTGCTCAAATTGAGGGAAAAAAGCTTACTGGTACAAAATGCTGGAAAAGACGTAATACAATGGGAACTCTAATTCATTACAGGGGGAAATGCAAAATAATCCAGTCACTTTAGAAGACAGTTTGGCAGTTTCTTATGAAGTTGAATATACATTCACCATGTGAACCAATAATTTTACTCCTAACCAAGTGAGTTGAAAAGATGTATACACACACACACACACACACACACACACACACACATACAATACGAAACAATAATAACAGGACATGAATGTTGATAGCAGTTTTATTCCTAACTGCCAAAATAAAAAATGAAAATGTCTTTCTACAGGTAAATTGATAAGCAGTAGTATATCCATACCATGGGATACTAATCAACAATTAAAAGGAATGAGATACTAATTCACTCAACAACATGGATGAATCTCAATTAAGTTTTGCTAAGTGAAAGAAGCCAGTCTATATATTATGATTTTGTTTATATAATACATGGAAAAGGCAAACCTCTAGGGATAGAAAACTTTCTATTGGCAGAGGTTGGGGGAGAGGTGAAGAACTGATTCCAGAAGGGTTGCAGAAGGGACTTTTTAAAGTAATGAAATTGTTTCATATTCTGTAGGTAGTAGAGAACATAACTTTATATGTTTGTCAAAATCTATTAGCTGTTTTGGAATTTTAAAAAATCAACCAGATATTGGAGAATTATAGGATGGAAATAGACTGACAAATTAAGTATATTACAAATGTATATTTTATTGAAGGGGTAAGTGAAAAGGAAGTTGACTTTGGAAAATAAAGTTTGGATGTTCATTGGATAGAGGCAAAAAGAGCTATATGTAAACATCCTATTATAGTTGGTAAATATCTCATTAGGTAAGCATTAGAAAATATGAATTAACTTTATAGGTATACTAGGACATCTGTATTGGTTTGCTAGGGCTACTATAACAAAATACTAAACTGGGGACTTAAGCAACTGTAATTTATTTTTTGCATAGATCTAGAGGCGAGAAATCTGAAATCTAGTTGTGAACAACTATTTGGTCCCTTCAGGGGGCTATGAGGGAAGGATCTGTATCAGGTCTCCCTCCTTGGCTGGTAGATGGTCATCTTTTCCCTTTATATGTGTGTCTGTGTCAAAATTCCTCTTTTTGATAAGGATATCAGTAGGATTAGGGCCCATCTATAATTATCTCATTTTAACTAGGTTATCTCTATAATAAAGACTCTATCTCCAAATGAAGTCAAATTATGAGGTACTGGGGATTAGGATTTCAATACATGAGTTTTAGGGTGGCATAATTCAACCCATAGTATTAGGGTCAAGCAAATAAGTCAACAATTGTAGATATCGGGAGCCAGGCCCTTCACTATCCTAGAAAATGTCACAAATATACAGGGGTACCCTGTGGTACTAGATTGAGTCAGAGATATTAGTACAAATTTATGTTTATAGACAGATAGATGATTGTTGGAGTGATAGAGATATGTATCTATATATAACTTAATAAACCTATACCCATTTCCTAGTTCTGTCCACTAAGCCTAGAAGCAGTGGTACACTCATAACAAGAAGCATACTCAGCACATAAATCTTGTCTTCTAAATACCATTTGCCAGTTAAAGGAGGGAAAATACCAGGTGAGTCTGGAACATTTTAGAAACAAAAAATTAGGGCGAGAAGAAAGAGAGGAGAGAGAGATGGAAGCTTGTCAAAAGGACACAGGAGCCATCTGAAAGAGCTGGAGCAGTTTCATCAACAAAATAATAATAATGTTGGATTATAACCCAAAGAAGTAAACAAATATTCATGAGTTCATAATGATATAAAAATCATTGCATAAATATTCTCTTACTATCTCTTTATCATAGATGAGGAAATTGAAGTTCACACGGCCTGTTAGTGGCAGAGCCAGACTGAATTACAAGGATCTTAGCATCAGAACCTCTGCATGCAACAACATCCTTTCCATTTAAATGGATAAGATGTAGTCCTAGGATTCAAGGAATTCATTTCAAGAGAAATGAGCATGTGATGTAAACAAGCATTATAACTCAGTGTAATTGCTTAAAATAAGGGTCAGGCCATCAGAGAAGACTGTGCAGAAGTGACACTGAAAACAAATATTGAAAGAGAAATAAGAATATATTTTGCGACAATAGATCAGGCTTTCCTGGTCAGCACCCCTCCCACACACACACACACATACACAACAACAACTCCAGCCATAGGGAAGAAGATGGGATCTAGCTGTTCAAGGTCATGTGGAAAACACAGAACTGCACAAATAATGATGCCTGCCGTTACCTGGGCATGAATTTCACACAGACAAACWTTGGCCAAGTCATCATGAAAGGAGTTGGTATCAAGTGTCTATCAATCCATTTTGGGTCTATTCATCCTCATACTTTCAGGTGTCAAGACCTCACCTTTGTTAGAAGTATCACTATTTATTTAGCAGTTCTAAGGATTGAAACTAAGAGTAACCACTGAACTATCCCCAATCCTTTTTATCTTTTATTCTGAGAGTCTAAGTTGCCTAGGTTGGCCTTGAACTTATGATCCTCTTGCCTTAGCCTCCCAARTAGCTGGGATTACAGGTGTGAGCCACCATGCCAGTCTTCATTTTTCTTTCAATAACTAGGTTTTTCACTTCTTAGTAATGAAAATTTCACACAATTAAAGATGTATTCTTAAAAACTTAAGAGTTAACCTGGATGAGCCAGGTTAACTCTTAAGTTTTTAAATCTTATGAAATCATCTCTTTTAGAAATATTTGGGGGAGGTATGTTTTTAAAAAATCCATAAAACAGTAACTAAAACAGTAGAAGTTGAAGCCACAAACACCATAGTTTACTACGTGCTGGACACTGTTCTGTCACCTATATATTTTAGCTCTCACAATAACCCTGTGAAGTAGTTACTAGTAATATCTTTATTTATAGATAATTAACTGAGGAACAGAAAGGCTTAGTAACTTACACAAAGTTGTAATCGGTTTTAGTAACTTGTGGATTCAGTAAAATCCAGTAATTTCAGTCTTAACAGAAAGGAATGATACTACTTGTTTTTGTTTTGATTCATTTCTTAATTCAACAAATGGTCTAGTATGGCCTAGACAGGTGATCACAAACCCTAACATCTACAGGGCCAGACTGGAAACATACTGAGAATTCAATCAGGTGTGTACAATAGTGGGAATTGGTAAACATTGTGAACAACAGGATGTGAGGGATTGAACCTAGGGCTTTACCCATGTTAGGCAAGTGCTCTACTACATGGCACATCCCCAATCCCATAGGCCTCTTTTTAAGGGGGTAGCTACTCCTCAGATCCAATTGTAGTCACAGAGTCAATATTATCAGATTTTCCAAGTTTTAAAGAAAAGTTGGAAAAGCAGATTTTGATATGAATCTTCCAATTTGGAAGATAGAGTGCATAAAATGAGTTCAATTCTGGGCATGTTGCATTTGCAGTTAGAAGCCAAGTCTCTAGCAATTAGAAACCGAATATGTGATTCAGGTAAATAATTTGGGAGTAAAGGAGAGATCTAGAAATCTTCAGCACATAGTTGATGAAGCTGCCCATGGAAAAGGTTTCAATTAAGAGACAAATATGAGGACCAGGAGCCCAGCATTTATATCATTAACAACACAGGAAGAGCCAGGAGGGAAGACCTGGAGTAAGAGGATAGTAAAGGACAGCAGTGTTTGAGATGCAAATGAGGAAGGGGAATGGGTCTTCCTTAGTTGAGAAGAAATAGTAGGAGTTCAAAGAACAAATTTTTATGACTTTCTTGTATCTAAAATTCAGCTAACACATTTTACTGCTAATTACTTTGATGACTCGAAATTTAAAAGTATTTTAGTTCCATTTTTCCTACTTTAGTGACATCTTATTAGCATAACAATTATCATTCCATTTCTCTTAGGGCATTTTGAAATGTCCAAAATACCGAAATTTGTCAGAACCATCTATAACAAAAACTGATTTTTGTGAGAAAGTAATACCTATTTAGGTGTATAATTGCATAGAAAAAATTTTCACATCCACAGGTTAACACTTGACTCACACATCAAAATTTATTTGTAACTTAGATACAACTTTATAGTTAATTTAAGACACTTCTATCAGCAAGGAAGGTTAAAAAATAAAAACAAACAACATGTGAACAAAAAACTATCTTCTCGAGTTCCAAGGTAACCAGTACATAAAGTCCATTTTCCCTGAGTTTGGAACCAGTTGAGAGAGCAATCAGGAGGCAGACAAATAGAGATCCAATTATCATCTTTCTTACAGAAAAGGCAGGTTAGAGAACATGGCTTTATAGGTGCAGAGGGCTGGACTTGCTAAGACTTCTCTTACTAATACAAGCCCATCGCTATCCTGGTAAGGCAGAATGTAGAATGGTTCTGAAGAAAAAGGAACCCMAAAAGAGACTGGGCTTTGCCTGCCCAGTTCTTTTCCCCAAACTCCCCAATCACTTACTCCATCTGCCCTAGAGTTAAACAATTGAGAGGGGAAAATTAAAGCAGGTTTTACTGGTTGAGGAAGTCCTTAACACCAGGGACATGGAGGAGGTTTGGTAGCACTCCCTATGCCTCATCTCCTTTAAAGTACAGTTTCTTTTATCCCCAGGGTCACATTCCCATGGCTAGTACAGAACTAAACCTGTGCTCCAGACAAATCCTTGTGATTTTAGAACAGTGATTTTCATACTAATCTGGGAGGCTATGCCTCAGAGGTTTATGGTTAAATGAGATAAAATAATTAAAATTAATTCTTTGAGTAGAGGCAACAATGAAATAGCCGCCCCCCCCCCCACTCAAAAAAAAAAAAAAGATTCAGGAGAAGGTAGAACATGGCTACAACAATGTTACCAACCCACTCTTCCTATCCTAGTAGTCTCACTGTCAAACCAGTTTAGCAAGTCTTGCCTGTATACCACCTAGAGGATCAAATGAGATATTTCAACAAATGAATTGTGATACAGTTATTATTTGGGATGAAACTACTATTTCAGTACTTTTAAATAGGAAAATCAGATTATTTTTCTGAATATTTACATTTTATAAGAAGATGCTTTGGAAGCCAGCTGGTAGAGATTGAAATCCCATAGTCCTCCACTTCCTACCTGACTAAACCTGAATGAATAATCTAATCTTTCTGAATCTCATTCTGAATAAGTAAAAATTATATGCTATTTACCTAATAACATTTTGGAAGACAACAAAATGCATACCACATACGACATTCAGTGTTGGCTACTTTCTTTTTTTTCCTAGGTCTAAGGACTGAACCTACCTGCTTTTACTGAACCATTAAGAAGTTAGATTTTTTGCCGGCTATGGTGGCACATGCCTGTAATACCAGCGGTTCAGGAGGCTGAGGCAGGAGGATCAAAAGTTCAAAGCCAGCTTCAGCAATTGTGAGGCACTAAGCAAGTCAGTGAGACCCTGTCTCTAATAAAATACAAAATAGGGCTGGGGATGTGGCTCAGTGGTCAAATACCCCTGAGTTCAATCCCCAGTACCCCCCCAAAAAAAAGAAATTAGATTTTTTTATTGGTTTGGTGTTTTTGTTAATGCTAAACTGATGACCTAACTAAACAAAAATCCCATGACTCAGCATTATTTAAGAAATTAGTAGCCATCTTTGATACCCYTTATGATATTGTGATTTATGCTAAGAAATATATAATTTTTGTTTTTCTTCCCCAGTTCCTAGCACACAGCTGCTAAGACCCCCTATAATTTTCTGAGCAATTGGGATGCTGGAAGAATCTTTTGTTCTGATATTTGGTCTTTGATCCTAGTACCTGACAGTTCCTAATCCCTTAGAATTTCCTGAGTGACAAGACTGTCTCTTGCTCTAATGATGTCACTCTGTGAGTTTCTCAATAGAAATTGGTCACTAAGAAAGTCCCAGCCATGATTAGAAACTTGGAACTTTAGGTCTACTGCCCCATACTCCAGGAAGGAAGAGGGGCTACAGTTGAGTTGGTGCCAATATGAGGAAGCCTCCAAAGATACCCCTGAACTATAGGATTGGAGAGATTCCAAACTGACATCACACTGGAGTGGCCCCCAAGATGGCTGCCTGGAGAAGGATGTTCTGCTCCCCTTCTGCCAGACCTTACTTCACATATGTCTTTGGCTATTCATCTGTATCCTCTTATTATATCCTTTAATAATCTAATAAACTTGTGAATGTAAGCAAATGCTTCCCTGAGTTCTGTGAGTCATCCTATAAAATTAGGACCCCAGGAGAAGGTCATGTGTATCCTGATTTGGAGTTTGATATTCAGTATCTAATGTCTGTGCATAAATACACATTCGTCATTCATGCATTCATTCACTTGACAAAATTTTGCTAAGCAATTGCTATGTTTAGATGCTGAATTTTGTAATGCTGGGGATACAATTGTATAATCTAATTGAGGATATATTGTTATATATGCCTTATATATAGTATAGTAAAAGGAAGAATGTACTATTTTTAAAAAGTACTATTCTATGAAAGTAAAATAACCTAGGATATCAATTTCCTTGTCTTTGAAGTGGAAATAATAATATTTATTCTATAGGACTGTTAAAATTACTAAATAAGAAGATATAGTTGAAATTGGAAGAATGATCCCCATACAATCACAGCCCAGTCAGCCTGGGAAAAATACCCTTTGACAGAGTTTATTATTTACCCACCAAAATTCAGTCTCCTCTTCCTCCTTCCTGGGTACATGATTGTCTTCTTAGACAACATTCCTTAGCCTTTCACATATTGAGATGTATGTGTTGCTAAGCTATTACAATTTGGATCTAAAATGTCCCTCAAAAGTTCATGTGTTGAAGGATTGATTTCAATGCAGCAGTACTCAGAGGTGGGTCCATGGGGAAGTGATTGGATCACAAGGGCTCTAACCTCACCAGTGGATTCATCCACTGATGAATTAATAGCTTAAGGGATTATTAGTAGGTTTAGAAATTTCAGGAGGTGGGGTTCTAGTCAAAGTACCTTTGAATGGCATAACTCAGGCTACCTGTCACGATGTTGTGCCTCACAACAACCCACAGCAATGGGACCAAGCAACTATGGACTAAAATCTCTGAAAGCATGAGTAGAAATAAATTGTTCCTCCTTTAAGTTGTTTTTTTCTCAAGTATTTTGTCACAGTAACAAAAAGCTGACACATAAGTCTTGCCAAKAGAGTATGAGCAGAAATTATGTGTGCTGCTTCTAGGGTTCAATTTTAAAGCATTTCAAATGCCTGCTCCATGTTCCCACTGTTTTTCCAGCTATATCATACAGAGTGGTTTGGTGGCTAGCAGTCTTCAACAATGCAGAGGAAGACAAGCCCCATGAGGTGATAAACAACATAACGAAAAGGTTCCTAAATAGTCTCACAGAGCAAAGCTGCCTTTTAGACCTAGGCTACCTTCTTTATGATGGTTATATGGTGAGACACAAACTCTCTACTGTTTAGGACGCTGTAGTTGGGGTCTCTGTTGCAGCTGTCTGGCCCCATCCAAGCCGATACAGCCATGACCTAAGAATTCAGCTGGACCTTCACAAGTTTCCAGATGTGTCTTCATGCAACCAGGGGTATGGCCATAAGAAGTATGTGGCTCAGTGATGAGTCTGCATCTCAGCAAACCCAGGCAGGTGAAACTGGAGAATGGGAGGTAAAAAGATGAAGGAAAGGAATTTATACTGCTCTATAATTCATCATAAAGCTTTGATTCTAAAGTGAGTGAGGCAGCATTACAAATTAAGGGGCAGTTGGGGGGAAATGTTACTCTTCCTCTTTACAAATTTATTGGATGGTTTAGTCTTCAATAACTAGTATTCTTTTGGTCAGGCAGTATAACAATAATACAGATGGTCCCTGACTTATGATGGTTTATGATTTTTCAACTTTATGATGGTGTAAAAGCCTGAGTATTCCATGTAAACCATACTAGGAAATTTGAATTTTGATCTTTTCCTGGGATAGCAGTATGAAGTACTACACTCTGTCTGGATGCTGGGCAGCAGTAGGGAGTCTCAGTTCCCAGCTACCCATGTGATCACTAAGGTGAAACAACAGATATTCTACAGCATACTTTGTTGCTAAGCTATGGTGTTCAGTAGGTTAGATGTATTACATGAATTTTTGAGGTATGATGTTTTTTTGTCAATGTACAACCCCATTTACATATGGAAGACATATTTTGCCTGTGTGTGTATGTGTGTGTGTGTTCTGAGAGATACAAAGAAGCAAAGACAGAGAGAGAAGAGGAACTCCAGAACTAATTGATATGCTCCAAATAAGGGAGGAAAAATAAAGAGGAGGTTCTAGAACTCCTTCTGATAGGAAATCTCAAAAGTTACTGGATTTATCAGTCTGCACACATATCTGCCTGCCTTTCAGAAAGTGGATTGCTAGTTCTTTCTCCTGGGACATCCTACCACCTCATCCCATAGACTTCCACACTGTTCTATGGATCTTGCAGTGATGAAGGCCATGATAAGCAGCCCCAGAGCAATCCCCTTGAATAGCTTAAATGGGGGGAAAGGAATAATGTTACTGGACTGGGCCTGGTGAGTGGAAGGAATGGGTAGACCTAGAAGAAGGGAAGAAGGTGAGGAACTAGAAATAGCGCAGTCTAGAGCTGTCCTATCCAAAATAGTAGCCACTAACCACATGGACTATTGAAGTTTTGCAATGTGCTAGTCTGTATTAAGATATACTAGAAGTGTAAAATCCACTTAGATTTCAGAGAACACAAATAATTAAAGATATTTAATTAGTAATTTTTGATATAAATTATACATTGAAATGTTAATATTTTGGATATATGGGGCTAAAAATATATTGTTAAAGTTAATTTCATTGGTTCCTTTTCCCTTTTTTWAAAAAAACACAGCTGCTGAAAAATTTTAAATTACATTAAATTTTTAATGTACTTTACATTTCTATAGGACAGTCCTCAGTCCTGGACTAGACCAGGGGTCATCACAATGTAGACCACAGGCCAAACTCAGCCCAATGTCTATTTTATTTTATTGTTACTGTGGATTGAGCCCTAGGGTGCTCTACTACTGAATTACACCCAAAACTTTTTATTTTTACCTTTCTTTTTAATTTATTTTTGAGACAGGATCTCACTAAGTTGCTGAGGATGGCCTTGAATTTGGAATTCTCCTGTCTCAGCCTCCTGCATTACTGGGATTATGGGCATGTGCCACTGTGACCATTTTTTTTTTAATATTCATTTTTAGTTTTAGGTGGACACAATATCTTTATTTATTTTTTATTTTTATGTGGTGCTGAGAATCAAATCCAGTGTCTCACGCATGCTAGGCGAGCACACTACCACTTGAGTCACATCCCCAGCCCACTGTGCCCAGTTTTAATGCCTACTTTTGTAAATAAAGTTTTATTGAAAATAGCCACACACATTTGTTTGTATATCATTTGAGGTTATTTTCCCCGCTATTCAACAATGGCAGAGTTGAATTGCTGGAAAAGAGACCATATGGCTACAAAGCCTATTTAGCATATGGCACTTTATGGAAAAAGTATGCAATTTCTGGTTTAGACTATAAGAATGGTTTTATAAAACATAGTTTAAAAATACTTTCCCTCATATGGGCATAGTGTTATGCACCTGTAATCCCAGCTGTCCAGTAGGATGAGGCAGAAGGATCACAAGTTCAAGGCCAGCTTGCCAACTTAGAGAGACCCTGCCTCAAAATAAATGAATATATGTATAAATGGGGCTAGGGATGGAGCTCTGTGGTAGTGTGCCTCTGACCTCTGAGTTCAATCCCCAATACTGCTAAGAAAAAAATTATTTTCCCTAACTCCTATGATTCCTTTTAGTAATGGTGATTTTAGATAAAGCCTGAGACAACTAAGCTGGCTTTAATGTGATGTAAGGAAAAATAAATCTGAGACAATAAAAAAAATGTGAGAAATACCTCCTTCATTTTTTTGAAGGCATTGGTCCAGAGGCATCTGCTCTCAAAGAATTTTGGGTGGAGATCAACATCAAAGAGTGTGTGTGTGTGTGTGTGTGAGAGAGAGAGAGAGAGAGAGAGAGAGAGAGAGAAGAAGAAGAAGCAGAAGGAGGAGGAGGAAGAGGAGGAGTGGGGGGGGGAAGAGAAGTGGTGAGAGTCTTGTTTGAATTTAAAATGATGGGAAGTTCCCATGCTGACACAAAGTTCAAAGGCAAAACCTCTGAAAGTAAACTTTCTATTTTTTGTAGTATAGGGCCTCAGTGTGGATAGCAACTGGGGTGAGTGTGGAGGTTACACTTTTGCCTAATGAGTTACATACCACAGGCAAAAGGGTTTCCTGGCTAAAAGGTGGAGAGCTGTGGGTTTGTAATCCCATCTCTGCCTTTTCCTAACTGTGTTAGTCA